CCCATTGCCCCGCGGGTGGAAGCCCCTCCACCTCGACCACTACGATGGCACAACGGACCCCGATGAGCACATCGACTCATATACAACCCAGGTAAACCTCTACACTAACAGTGACGCTATATTGTGTAGGGTTTTTCTGACCTCGCTCAAGGGACCTGCGCTTCACTGGTACACCCAACTACCCGCCAGATCCATCGACAGTTTTGGCACCCTGGTACGGCGATTCATGGCACAGTACGCCACCAGCCGACCTCACCATACAACCTCAGCCGCCTTGGCCAACCTCAGGCAGAATGACAACGAACCTCTGCGAGCTTTCATGGAACGCTTCTCCAGCATCTCGGTGAGAATCCGGAACTTGAACCCTGAGGTCGCCCTGCACGCCATGCTCATGGCACTCAAACCCGGTTCATTCGTTGACAGCCTATGCCGTGACGCCCCCCGCGACATGGACGAACTGCGCGCCCGCGCCGCCGGCTACATCCAGATGGAAGAGCACGCGGCCTTCCGTGACCAGGTTCACGGAAAAGACCCCATGAAACCAGAACAGGGTCACAAAGACAAGATGAAATTCAATAATGACAGCCAATTCAAGAAGTCAGCCAGAGCAAACAGAGGCGGGAGGTACGATTTCTACACTCCTCTGAACGCTCCAAGAGTCCACATCCTGGAGGAAGCCAACAACAATAACCTACTAGCCCTTCCGCCACCCGGCCACACGCCCAACAGCGCCGACAAGTCCAAGCACTGTCGATACCATAGGAACTATGGCCACACCACGGAGGAATGTCGCACGCTCCGGGATCGCATCGAAGAACTCATCCAGGCAGGCCACCTTGGCCAGTACGTCCAACGATAGCAAAGTCACTGAGGTGGCTCTGGAGGCCGGGGACGAGGGAGAGGCCGCGGGCCAGGAGCTCGCGCGGACCTACCCACAGGGTCCCAGCAACATGCTAGTGGCACAGTTCAGGCCGAAATAACTCAAGAGACGGAATCGGCCCCCTTGCGGGGAGTAATCAACACAATTGTGGGCGGCTTCGCTGTAGGAGGCGCCAGCAGCTCAGCCCGGAAAAGGCACCTTTGAAGTATCAACTGCGCCCACTCTACCGCTTCGATCCCGCACAGCAGCTCGTCGCCGATCTCTTTTTCCGACGAGGACTACGCAAGCATTAGCCCTAGCCAAGATGATCCCATGGTCATCGTAGTGGAGGTCGCCAACTGGGAAGTACAAAAGACACTCAACGACCAAGGAAGCTCGGCCGACGTCCTGTACTGGTCAACGTTTCTCAGGCTAGACGTCCCTCATTCTCTCATCCAACCACACACAGAGCCTCTAGTCGGCTTTGCAGGCGAACGAGTTCACACCCGCGGATACGTGGACCTGCTGACAACCTTCGGAGTGCCCCCAGATGCAAGGAGGATCATGGTTCGATACCTCCTAGTGGAAGCTAACACCTCCTACAACATCATCATCGGGAGGCCGACCCTGAATCATCTCGGCACGGTGGTATCCACTCCGCACCTTACCATGAAATTCCCAGGGAACGACGGCAAGATCATCTCCGTTAAAGCAAATCAGAAGACAGCTTGGCAATGCTATGCCGAAAGTCTGAGGATTTCCTCGTCCAGCAAGGAGAGCAAGAGGGATTCCCCGCCGTAACCCACTAGATCCCGTCCTTCTTTAATGTACGAACAAGATGTGCACTCTTTTCCCGCCTCAATCCCTGACCGAGAGGGTTTTTAATGAGGCACACAAGAACAAATCAATAAAATTATAAGTTTTGCTCAATCCATTTCCTTACCCATTGCTTTTGTAAAACTCGAAGTTAAACTAGCCTCTTTCGCGTCAATCCGAGGTTGAGTACGAACCTCGGTATTCTCAATTAAAGGTCGAATTCGAACCTTAATTATGTCGTTTATTTTAAAGTGAGGTCGAGCACGAACCTCAAACACGTAAATCTGGGGTCGAGTACGAACCTCGATATCCTCAATTAAAGGTCGAATTCGAACCTTAATTATGCCGTTTATTTCAAAGTAAGGTCGAGCACGAACCTCAAACACGTAAATCTGGGGTCGAGTACGAACCTCGATATCCTCAGTTAAAGGTCGAATTCGAACCTTAATTATGTCATTTTATTTCAAAGTGAGGTCGAGCACGAACCTCAAACACGTAAATCCGGGGTCGAGTACGAACCTCGATATCCTCAGTTAAAGGTCGAATTTGAACCTTAATTATGCCGTTTATTTCAAAGTGAGGTCGAGCACGAACCTCAAACACGTAAATCCGGGGTCGAGCATGAACCTCGACATCCTCAGTTAAAGGTCGAATTCGAACCTTAATTATGCCGTTTATTTCAAAGTGAGGTCGAGCACGAACCTCAAACACGTTACTCCGGGGTCGAGTACGAACCTCGATAGTCAAAGGTCGAATTCGAACCTTAATAATCTATCTCAAACCTGAGATCGAGTACGAACCTTGACGCCCTCGTTAAAGGTCGAGTTCGAACCTTAACTAAATAGCATATCTCAAATTTAAGGTCGAATCCGAACCTCGACATTTCCGCTAAAGGTCGAGTTCGAACCTCAATTAAATAGCAAATCCGAGGTCGAGTACGAACCCCAATGCTTTCTTTAAAGGTCGATTCCGAACCTTAATCGAACCAGTTCGCAAATTCCGAGGTCGAATACGAACCTCGACGCTCTGGCCAAGGGTCGAGTTCAAACCTTAATAACTTACTCTGAGGTCGAGTTCAAACCGTAACAAAACATACATGACCCTAAACTTAAGGGCGGATACGGACCACCCATCCAACTTACTACATTCCGGTTTGGGGTCGGTTAAGAACCTCGGTGCTAATAAATTAAGGTCATCGAACCTCCACAGAAACGCTCACCCAAACAGAAGTCCGAGGTCGAGCCTGAACCTCCCTTAACATATGAGGCCGAGCACGAGCCACAGCATCCGGATCCGAGGTCGAATACGAACCTCACCAAAACTTCGTTTTATTCAAAACCGAGGTCGAGTATGAACCTCGATGCCCCCACTTAAAAGTCGAGTTCGAACCTTAGCTAAATCATTTTGCTCAAACCTAAGATCAAACCCGAATCCCACCAACGCCTAAGGTCGGATACGAACCTCGACTTCACCAACTCAAGGTAGAAGTATCACCATATACAAAACCATATAACAAACATGTGCCTCAAACAGCGCGAACAGCCAAAATTGAGCGCAAATACGGACAAGATAGAGCAAAATATATATATATATATATACAAACAAAGTTCTCAAAATTCAGTACATCAATTCAAGACAAAGAAAAATAAACCAAGCTATTACAAAGGCGGCCTAGGCTGAAGCACCCCCGCTAGAACTGTCGTTGACATCGTCCTCCTTGACTAACCTCCCAAAACGGACGACTTTCTCCACGTGCATGGAAGAAAAGTCGAATCCGGGAGCAAGAAGCCGAGCTTGACGAGCAGCCTTTTGGAAGCCTCTCTTGTGCTCAACCACAACGGAGCGTTCGACTTCCTTCGACCTCCGCGAGCCTCTTGTCCGTGGCCGCCTTCCCCATCGCTAGCTCCGCAAGCTCTGCCGTCAAGGTGGTAATTTCGTCCTCACGGCCACCAAGAATGACCTCGCTACGGAGGCGCTCCTCAGCCACCGCCGCCGCCAATTCTCCCTTAAGAGAGGCCACAACGTCCTCCAGAGCCCGCACCTGACCACGAGAGGACGTCACCTCGTCCTCCAAGGAACGGACGCGGCCTCGAGAGAAGGCGGCGAGCCGCTGCAGCTCCCCCACCTGGGTAGCGTAAGTCTCATTAGACCGCAAAGCGATCTCTAGAGACTTCTGTACCCTGGCAAGATCGCCACGCACAGACCGGAGCTCAGCTTCGCGCCGCTTCGCCTCGCCGACGGAGGCATTGAGAACTTTATTCTCCTCCCTCAGGATCCTGTTCGCCTCCTTTCACGGCCGAAGTCGACCCCTCAACTTGGCCAGATCCTCTTGCTGCTTAGCCAGGTCCTCCCGCTGCTAGCTCCACTTCGGCTTCCAATGGCCCACTATGCCCATAACCCTCTACAGCATGACCTGGGCGGCATCAAAATTGTCTTCAGGACTAACCTCGTCTATCAATCCTTGGTCGTCGGAGCTCAACGAGCCCTGAGGGAAGAACTTCTCAGCAGTCACCCCCGCGCTCCACAGCGAGTTCATGTCGGCGGAAGCACTCGCGTGGTCCAGCCGCACCTTGTCCAAACCCTTCCCGAAGGGGTGAGCTAGATACTGGGTCCGGGAAGGCCCCTGCGACGAACCTGCTGGCGGCGCCGAAGCTGCAGCAGAGACCGGCGTCCCCTGCTCGATCGACATCCTGACAGTCAAAAGTAGGGACCCCTGACCCCGCCTGCGAAGACCAGTCCCATGTCAAAAACAAACAAGACGACATACGGAGAACCACAGAAACGAATAGACAAACACTACTTACCTCAACAGCATGAACAACATGCTCGGTGGCTGGAACCCCCTCCTCAGCAGCTTGGGCGACCAGCCCAGCAGCCTGCGTTGCCACCTCGGCGGCATTTCCTGCCTGCGAAAAATGGCCCCAGGTCAAACGACCAGAAAGTGTAATAGAAGACAATCGAAAAAGAAAGGAAACAAGATACTCACCACCCCGGCAACTCGAGCAACTTGCTCAGCAGCCCGGTCACCTACCTCGGCAGCAGTCACCCCGACCTGCAACAGAACCCATTCCACCTCAATAAACCAAGCCAAGTCAAAATAAAAGGCGCATATAAAATGAGACACTCACCTTGGTGACCGACACAGCAGGCTCAGCAGTCCGAGCCATTTCCTCAGCAACCACTGAGGGAACCTCTTTGGCTGGCGGACTCTCAGTAAGGTCCACCGTATCAACAACAGTAGTTTTGGAGGTCACCTCCTCGGCACTACGAGGGGCGGAGGTCCCCCCGACCTCTCTCTCCCCCCTTTTCCTTTTTCGGTGTGTCTTCAGGGGGCAGCATCCTTCTCCGAGAGCTCGGGAACCTCGAGCTCAGCAACATTGTAGCGATGCTTAAGCTCACGCCACAAGTTTTTCCCCATAATGCCTGCAGACAAGAAACAGAAGCACATCAGTAAAAGGCAACTACACAAGCCCTGGCAATCCATTAAAACACGCAATACTCACTCTCTAGGCCCCTCTCCCTATAAGGCAAATTTGCAAGCGACAGAACGAGCTTGCAATCCAACAGACGGGGGAGCGCGGCAAGATTTTTAATGGCGGTCAATCTCTTTATCTTCTTCTTCATGGAGGTACTCTACCACATTGATTAAGACTTTCTCCAAAGGAGTAGAAAAAGAGACATGCTTCCTAGTATCTTCAACAAGGCCATCAATTACATCGACCCGGAAGCAACTACTCTTGTCCTTGGGGTAGTGCATGGCATCAAAAACATCAAAGCTGACTTCTTCATCATTCACTCTCACCTTAAGCTTCCCATCATCCACATCAATTAGAACTCTTGTAGTCTTCATGAATGGTCGGCCAAGAATGAGAGGTACATCAATGTTCTCTTCTATATCCATCACTGCAAAATTAGCGGGAAACAAGAAAAGGTCCACATTCACCAGAACATCCTCCACTATGCCATGAGGATACTTCACAGATCGATCAGCCAACTGCAAAGTCATGCGAGTGGGCTTCACCTCCAAATCACCAATCCTCTGAAGCATAGATAAGGGCATGAGATTGATGCTAGCCCCCAAATCAAGTAAAGAATTCCCAATAGCTAAACTCCCAATAGTGACTGGAAGAGTGAAACTACCAGGGTCCTTGGATTTAGTTGGCAACATCTTCTGAATAATGGCACTATGTACATCCCCCCTCCAATGTAATGGTCTCCTCTTCAAAATATTTCCTCTTTTTGGTGAAGATCTCCTTCATGAACTTGGCATAAGTAGGCATTTGTTCTAATGCCTCGGAGAACGGAATGTTAATCTGCAAGGTCTTGAAAATCTCAAAGAACCGAGCATATTGCCTCTCCTTATCTCTTCTTGAAGGGGCATGAGGATATGGAAGACTCTTGGTGGGTGGCACTTTTACAATACTCCTCTCCTCCATGGGTGCTTTCTTCTTTTCTCCACTAACTCCTTCTTTCTCTTTCTTAATTTCTTTCTTTTTCTCACTCTTTTTGTCATTTTCGTTTTTCATTTTATTTTCTTTAACCATCTCACTTCCTTCACTCCTTCTCCATACTCCTGGGCCCTCTAAGATGATCTCTTCATCAATGCTAGCATCATCTTCCACACCCATGTCATTCTTTTCATCTCCCTCATTCTTCTTCTCACTCTCCTTCACCACAAATTCTCGACCACTCCTTGTAGATACTACATTCAGGTGCCCCTTCGGATTTTGCTTAGTGTTGGCTGAGAAAGAACCTTTTTGCTGCTCTGCTAGCTACTTTGCTATTTTCCCCACCTGTATCTCTAGATTTTTAATTGAAGCATCAGTGTTCTTTTGGTTAGACATAGACAATTGCATGAATTGTCGCAATGTGTCTTCCAACTTGGTGGTTCTCTCATATAAAGGTGGGTGTTGGTGTTGATGTGGAGGCCTGCTACTTGATGAAGCATTCATATTCTGCTTGTGTCCACCATAATTATTTCTCCACCCCTGATTTGAGTTTTGAGGATAGGGGTGTTGAGAGAAATTTTGCCGCCCTTGATTCCCCATATAATTCACTTCTTCACCTTGGGAACTAGGTGGTCCGGCACAATAACCATTAGGGTGGTCACCTCCACAAAAATCACATGATAACACTTGTTGCATAGGAGGAGCATTAGTTTGCATAGCTTGAAGTTGTTGAGGTAACTTAGCCATTTGTTGATTCAAAGCTTCAATTTGTTGGGAAAGTAATTTGTTTTGAGCTAACACTGCATCTTGAGTACTCAACTCCAAAACTCCCATCTTGTGTGAAGAGCTTCTACCGTGCTAGCTCCTAATAGTTGTGGAGGCCATAGACTCAATGATGGTGATAGCCTCCTCGACGGTTCTGAACATAACTGACCCTCCAAACGTAGCATCAAGTATCATCTTGGTTTGAGGTTGTAACCCATTACAAAAAGTTTGAACTTGAAGCTTAACCTCAAAACCATGATTAGGGTACTTCCTCAACAGTGATTTGTACCTCTCCCATGCTTCACATAATGGCTCATCCGCACCTTGAGCAAAAGTAGCAATAGTAGTTCTGGCCTTAGTGTTCATGGAAGGGGGAAAGAACCTGGCTAAGAATTTAGTCTCTACATCCCTCCAAGTGGTTAGGCTTTGGTTTGGCTGAGAATGAAGCCAAGCCTTAGCCTTCCCATTCAGAGAGAACGGAAACAACCTCATGAACAATGCTTCTTCATCAGCCCCTGAAACTCCAACTGAACTACACAACTCATAGAAAGTGTAGAGATGAGTATGTGGGTCTTCATGATCCAGGCCAGAAAATTGATGAGAGCTGATAAGCTGTAGGAGTGCGGGCTTCATTTTCGCTAGTCTGTCATTCATGGTGGGCCTCACAATGCTAGAGAATTCCCTCAGGCTAGTGTAGGTGAAAGCATCACCTATAGTGCGCCTCCGATTTGGATTTTCATTGTGAGCACCACCTTCACCTCCACCTTCCATAGTGAACTCAGGAATAGCAGAGACAAAAACTTCAGGAATCTGAGTGGTTGGTTGGCCAACTAGATTTGCTCTATTCCTCCTTCTCCTCCTGTTGCTATTATTCCTCCTTGTCGTGCGTTCAATCTCAGGATTGTTCAACAGCGGCTCAGAAGAAGTAGTACCTCTAGTTCGAATAGTACCTTGCATACAAGAGAAAACAAAAGACTAGAGTGCACAAGTCAGCCCAAAGAATTCATTGCTAAATTTAAAAATAACAATAACATTAAAGGAACAAGTCACAAATAGTTATAAATACTAAATTGCCTTATTAATCCCCGGCAACGACGCCAAAAACTTGTTGAGATTTCCGTTGAAACTACTTTTGTTATCATTGTAAATCATTTTAATTATATCAACGGACTCAAACACGGAAAGTATACCGGTCGTTCAAGTAGTAAATTATATCGTATCCACAGGGACTAGTAGGTAAAATAAGCATTTATTGACTATTCGTGACTAAAGAATAATTCCAATTTCATAGTTTATCATGCAAATGTGAATTAAAGGTTATGACTATTGGAATGTTAAACTATAAAAGTATTTGTTTGTGAGTGGAAAAGGGTAGAAATGGTATTATGATTTTGTAAGATTGTGGGGTCAGATGTCACTAAACGTCACACTAATGAATCCTTAATCTCTTGTTACATCCATTGCTTAGTCAACCCATAAGTTTACTCAAACCTAATCCCTTAGAGCAAGAGCCTAGGTGCGGATAGTGAATATCATTCCTTGAGTATCCAATACCTACACCCGCATTACGGGTTAGGGTTTAAGACTACTAATGGGCCAAGCTCCATTCTTAGATACATTTCCCCACTAGGCATTTGTTTCATAGCTAGTTTCAATGGTTATTTTCCAATACCCAATGGAACCTATATCATGCAAGGAGAATCAATCCAAAGCAAGCATTAAGAATAGAAACATACACAACAATGAATGGAACAACATGTATATATCATTAAAAGCGTAAGGATTACAATAGAGTATCGTTGGTTACATCTAACCCCACATGGGGAATCAGATTAGGGTTACCGCGCCCGGTGCAGGGCCTTCTAGAGAGTTTGGTTACTCTCTGTCTCGAGCACGCCCGACGCAATTTTCTTTTAAGTCGGGCGCAACACCTTCCAGAGAGTTTGAGTTTCTCTCTGTCTTGAGCGCACCCGGTGCGTCTTCTTGTGCCCGACGCATTTCTGCATTGCAGAGAGAGTGGCTCTCTGTTCTTTTCAAGCTCGACGCGGGTAGTTTTGTGCCCGACTCAGTCACTCTTCTCTTGCTCCTTAGCTCCTTTAATTTCCAATCTAGTGGATCTTCAACTTTCAACTCTTCCCTCAATACCTGCACAAAAAATAAAGTGTATCAAGGTATTGTTAGATGAAATTGGGTTAGCTATATCTGCACAAAAATTGAACCAAAAAGAGAATAATTATCTTGCAATGGTGCATAAGATGAGTGGAATTGTTCAATAAGTCTTTTCCAAAAAGAAGTATAATTGAGACTTAACAGCATCCTCGGCGTCTTCGGCTGATTCACACTATTCACTGATCGCACAGCCTGGAGGTGTCTCTTCCATGCCGAAGAGGTGGAACCTCCCCCGGCGAAGCCTCCAGCTATGGTGTTTATCACCTTCCTTAGTCGGTCACTGTCTTCCCTGGAATGCTGAGAATGGTCCCTCCTCTCGGCTGAACGGGATCGGTGGCGTCGATCTCTCGGCTGTGGGACTTCGCAAGAGTGATGGTCTCTCCCTCTTTCCTGGTGGTCTTGGAGGGTGACGAAGCTCCTGAGGTGACCTTGCTTGATAAGGTCCTCGAGCTTGTCTTTCAGTGCTGAGCATTCTTCAGTCGAGTGTCCCCTATTTCGATGGAATTGGCATGTCTTGGCCTTGTCTGCTCTAGGGGGAGTGTTTGCCCTCTTCGGCATCACAAGGATCTCCGAAGCAAGGTCCTGCTCCATTACCTTGGCCCTACTCGCATTGAGGGGAGTATACGCTGTGTAGCGTGGTCCTCTCGGGGGGCGAGCATTTGAGGGCTCGGCGTTCGTTTTTCTCATCGGCTCTCAACCGGACTCTTTTCGGCTGTATCCCTCTTCGGCCCTAGCTTGATTTCTAGTCTCTGCCAACTCCTCTATTTGCATGTACTTCTCAGCTCGGCGTCAGAGATTGTTCATATCACCAGGTGGTTTCTTACACAAGTTGTTCACAAACGGCCCCGGCCTCAGGGCAGTGCTCAGCCAGTCCATCGCCACGGCCGGGTTGAGATCGTCGATTTCCATGGCAATCTTGTTGAATTAGTCCATGAAGCTTCTCAAACTTTCTTTCTTCTCTTGACGAACCCCCGCCAATGCTAGCGAGGTCGTCTTGTACGGTTTGCTCGTGGCGAACTGAAGAGTGAATTGGGACGACAACTCACTAAACGAATCGATGGAAGAGCTCGGCAATCGCGTGAACCAGCTCAAAGCCCTTCCTTTCAACGATGTGGGGAATATTCAGCACAAGGTAGAATCGTCTTGAGTAGAGAGGGTTGCTTGTGTCAGGAAAACATTCAAGTGTTCCTCTGGGTCGGTAGACCCATCATACTTCTCGATCGACATGCTCTTCCAGTGGTCCAACAGGGTCGCCTCCATTATCCTTCAGGAGAAAGGGTGTCTTAACGAGTGGGTGGTAGTGTCGGCCTTGCCACGAATCAAAGAGGTAACCGATGTTTGGGTAACCTGGTCGGTTGGGGCGTGATAGGCTGACTCCTCTAGGAGCGTGGGAGTGGACGACATGTAGGTTTGGTTTAGACTTCGAAGCTCGGCATTTTACCGACATAGTTCGGCCAACTCCCTGGCATCGACTTCTCTCTGTCTATGTATGGCTGCCATTTCCTCGCGCAATGCGCGCAAGTCATCGTGGAGGTCAGGCTAGGGTCTGTCGACGTTCGGTCGAACCTCTTGTATTACAGGCTCCGGTTGTGTTTGAGGTATTCCGTACAGGTATCATTCTTGGCCAGTCATGACGAGATTGTTCTCGGGGTTAGGGATCGATTGAGTCGATGTTGATGGTCCTTTGCGTAACTACCATGTCTCGGTCTCAATCAGATAGAGTTCAAAGGGGCTGAAAACGTCTCTTCGGCCCCACGGTGGGTGCCAAATGTTCCTGTATTAGGATATACACTTTGCTTGTCTTGGTTATTGCGGGTCTGATCCTGGGTCTAGGTCTTCTCATTCCTTTCCGGGTAGTCCGAAGTGAGAGAGGGGGGTGCCTGCAAAGACACTCCAACGCTCAAGTCAATGTTCGGCGTAATAAATGCGGTAGTTCAAAATTAGTTACGTACCTCACTGGGGTCCTATTTATAGTGATTCTTGTTAGGTCGTAATTAGGGACTGGGCCCCAAAAAATTAGGGGACTAAACTGGCACATTACGTAAATTAACCTCTCCTTAATTGTCTTGGCATAAGTCCGTGACTTGGCCGAGCACACCGACATGTTCAGCTCAGGTACGAGGTGGTCAGCGTCCTCGGCGGAGTTGTTTTGGGTCGGCCAGGTCGGGTATTCGGGTATTCGACCTAATCAACTACTATCCGGTATAATATATATTACCGACATGTCATATGCATTGGAGTATGAACACAGAAGATAAGTATGAACAGAGAAGATGGATAAGAATTACACTTTATTTTATTAGTTCTCATAAGCTAAATACTACCCGTCACCATCTTAGATTTTGCCTCAACTTTATTTTTTTCTTTTTTCTTTTCTCGTATAAAATTGTTTTTATTCTTATATCTCGACCATTCATCAATAGAATTGAATAAATTATACGTCATTTTATGCATGTCATTCATTATGTCGTATTTGGAGCCATGTTCCCGAGAAGGGACCATGAAGCACACACATTACACGATTATGTATGAAGCTTCAACATGTATCTTAGGTTAAAGTTAAAAAAAAAAAAAAAGTAAAAGAAAAAAGAAGTCCACACATTACACGTTTTATGAAGCTTCAACATGTATCTTAGGTTAAAGTTTAAGAAATAAAATAAAAAAGAAGTCCACACATTACACTTTATATGAAGCTTCGACATGTATCTTAGGCTAAAGTTAAAAAGTAAAAAAATTAAAAAGCACCCAAGAAACAACCACTTTCATTCGCTTGCTCGGGAAGTAAGAAGGGATTACATAAAAAGGAAAATGCAAAATAAATGGTCCCATCCCGATCGAATTCATTATATTTTATTTTATCATAAATTAGTATTTTAATTTTTCCAATTCATCAAAATTATAATAACGACAGTGTATATTATTTCAAATTTTTCATTATTAGATGGGCACTAGTAGTTGAATTAATATTTTAGTCTTTTGATTACATACATAATAGATATTTTTTATGTAATTAAAATTTTAATAAATAATTTTTTAATATTTAATTATATTATGATTAAAATTTATAATAAATGAATATATTTAATTAAAATATACAAATGACATTTATAGTGATTTATAATGAGATATATTTTTAGTTACTTATAATTTAGAAATATAAAATTCAATTTAACGATATAGATAAACAATAATAAATTGAAAAATAAATGATTAAGAATGTCAACTATACAAATAAAGATAAAAAGATAATCGTTTGAAATGACTGTGAGAAAAGTTTCTAGAGAGTAGTGAAAAATACAACTTCTTCAAAGGAAAGAAAAAAGACAAAATTTAGAATGAAGATTAGTCACTCTCTAAATCAGGATATTCTAATATATACGATATATGTAACAGTAAATTATATTCATATTTTATTTTAATAATTAATGGAGAAAAGAGAATGAGTAAAAGAGTAAAATATAAAATAAGATTATTAGTATAATAAAAAGGAGAAATAATAATATTTTATAAAAAGTTTTACTTTATTATATTACTAGTGTAATGACTTCAAACTATATATCAATGGAATAAAAATAATCTTACATGTATTTTATTTAAGAGAACCAATATTTGATCATCTTAAATATGAATTTTAACATAATAAATTTGATTTTGATATATTATCAATATATAAATATTATTGTTAATTGAAATTAACCTTTCAAATGATCGAGTTTCAAAATAATTATTTTAAATATTAAAAATTGTTTTAAATGTTCAAGAGTTTGATTTTTCTAAAATACAACTTCAAGTTAAATTTTTAAATATTTTTTTATAAAAAATAATTCCTAATCGACTTCGAATATAAGTGGTATTTAAAAAAAAAAATTCCAAAACATATATACACATAATCTCTCTTTAATTAAATATGTTTTTGTCCTTCTAAAATTTTAAACTTCTAATTTAGTTTTTATAGTTTTTTTTTCTCATTTTCAACTCCGTTTTTTTTTTTTTTAATTTATACATATATATATAAAGGGATTTTTTTATGTTTTCATATACACTTTATTTCAAACAATTTTAACATTTTAAATAAAAAATTATTATATAAAGACTATGAAAGATTACAATTTTTTTTAAATGTATAATAACTACACACTATTATATTGACACGAATAATTAAATTAAAAGATAAAATACCTTTTTTTTTCACTAGTTAATATTAAATGATGTAAGTTTAAATTTTTGTTCTTTTGTTACTTATTTTTAGGTTCCCCATAAAACTTGCATTGATAAATAAAAATGCAAAAAATCAAATACTAAAATAAATTTTTTGACGATTTAAAGGGATGAAACACTTATTTAATCCCATAAGTTTTCATGTGGTTGGTTTGAGCTGCATTAACTACAAATTTTAAATAAAATCTTAAATTTAAATCTTATAAATAAAAAAAGTAATTAACTAAAAAATCACACTAAAAATAATCAAATTTTCAATAAAAAAATTAATAATTACAAAATTCCATAAATATTCTACATCAATAATATCATCACTTAAAATATTTATCAATTTCTCATACACACAAAATATCATTACTGCTTTAAAAAAGCGAAGCATGTTTCTTTATGGATCATTCTCTTCTTTATCACTTTTTTCCATATACCTTCCAATTCACTGAAATACACAAACAAGCATCTGATTTAGAGGTTTGGTATATAAAAGGGGACACCCAATTGGGTTGGGAACATATAAGCAAATTATCACTTACCATCTCACGCACCGATCAAATATCAGTTTCAACCTTGCATGCACAACCAGTAACATGAAAAATTTCGAAGAGAAACAATATGATGAAGACCAAATGTCCACGATAGAAGGTAATGTGAATAGTAATCCTGAGCTTTATTTCCTTCATATTTATGCAGTGCACTATCAAAACCGAAAAAGTAGAACAACTAGCTTGCAAAATTATTATACGCACCAACATATTACATGGATGATCAATATATGTTACATGTATATTCTGTCTGTTGTGTATATACTT